GAGTCTAGTGACACTGTCTGCCTGCAGAGGCCTTGCTGAGCTACTGTGGCTCTGCCCAGTCGCTGTGTGAACTTCCCAGCCTACCTGAGCCTTAGCAGTGGCAGATGCCCCTTCCCCCAGCAGCTCTAATGTCCCAGGTTGAGCTCAGACTGCTGTGCTGGCTGCAAGAATTTCATACCAGTGGATCTTAGCTTGCTAGTCTTTGTGGAGGTGGGACCTGCCAAGCCAGATCACTTGGCTCCCTGGCTTCAGCCCCCTTTTTCAGGGGATTGAGTGGTTCTGTCTTGGTGGCATTCCAGGCACCACTGGGGTATGAAAAAAAGAAAAAGAAACTGCGGCTAGCTCATCTTCCCAAACAGCCACCCACTTTTGTGCTGGAAACCCAGGGTGCTGGTGTTGTAGGTACTGGAGGGAATCTCCTGGTCTGCAGGTTGTGAAGACTGTGGGAAAAATGCAGTATCTGAGCTAGAGTGCCAGAGTGCCAGGAAAAGTCCCTAATGGCTTCCCTTGGTTGGGAGAGGGAGTTCCCCAGCCCCTTGTGCTTCCCAGGTGAGGCAATGCCCCATCCTGCTTTGGCTTGCCCCAAGCCCTTCTTGGGCTGCACCCACTGTCTAACCAGTCCCAATGAGATGAACCTGGTACCTCAGTTGGAAATGCAGAGATTACCAGCCTTCTGCATTGCTCTCACTGGGAGATGTGCACCAGAGCTGTTCCTGTTCAGCCATCTTTCCAGCAATTCCCCCACAATTTTCATGACTTGAAATATCACATGAAATATTATGGGTAGGGCCAAGATCACCAACTAGAAGTGGCGGTGTTTGGAGGCTCCCATCTAAAAAAAAGTTGTAATAAGCTCGTGAATCCTTCACTAGCAACCAAGGTATCCAGGTTCTCTCATCAAAATTGACTAGAAAGTTGGCTTGTCCCACAGAAAGAAGGAAGGGCAATGTAGTGTGGCAGTTCACCTGAGAATCACACGGGGAAGGGAACCCCCTCCCCCCAGCCAAGGGAGGCAGTCAGTGAGCAGCTACCCAGCTGGGGAAACTGCTTTTCTCACAGAACTGTGCAACTCATGGGATTGAAAGATCCCACTCGCAAACCCAGGCCACTGGGGCCTAGCCTTCCAACCCTGGAATGTGCAGATTCTTACAGCCTCTCAGTTGAAATCTGCTTAAGTCTACTGAACTCCTGGGTGGAGGGGTGACCAGCATTGGCTGTGGCTGCCTCCTCTGTATTTCAGCTCCTCAGGGGAGGGGCAGCAGCTAGCACTGGGACTGGCAACTGCCTAACATGCTAGGTTCTCTGGGCAGGGTAAGGACAGCACCCATTTCTATCGCTCCTGGCTGTACTTTTCCCCTGCTGGAGCCAGGAAGGCTGGACGGCTTGGTCCCAAGACTTGTCCCCACAGCCCAACACACCGGCTGTGGCAGTGTGCAGCCAGAGTACCTCTTCAGGTCTAACCCTGACCCATCCTTCCTCAGTGGGCAGGGCTTCCCTGCAGGATCTCCAGTAACTCCAGCCAGAGGTTCAGGGACAGAATTGGGATCTCCCTGGGCCTGAGCCCGAGGGGTGGGGAGATGGCCACAGTCTCTGCAGACCAGCAGGCTTAGCCTCTCCTGGTAGTTCTGAGGAATCCGGGCAGCCCAGATGAATGAGTTTCCCACCAAGCGAAACACACCCTCTCCGCCAAGGGACAAAGTACTTTGTTAAACGGGTCCTGCTCCCTGTGCCACCCAACTGGTGAGACCGTCCAACCGAGGTTGTCAGATACCCTATACAAGAGTGATCCTGCTGGCATCAGGTTGGTGTCCTTCGAGGTCAGAGGTCCCAGAAGAAGGAGCAGGCGCCCATCTTGGCTGCCCTCCAGCCTCCTTGAGTGACATCTCCAGGCACAGGAGTGAATCAGATGAATAGGGCCTGAAGTGAACCCCCAGCAAACTGCAGCAGCCCTACAGAAGACAGCACTGATTATTGAAAGAAAAACAAGCAGAAGTGACAACAACAGCATCAACAACAACAAGGCCCCACAAAAATTTCATACAAGGGTCAGCAGCCTCAAAGGCTAAAACTAGACAAACTCAGAAAGATGAGAAAGAATCAACAAAAAATGCTGAAAACTCAAAAGGCCAGAGTGCCTCTTCTCCTCCAAATGATCACAGTGCCTCTCCATCAAAGGCACAGGAAAAAAACAGCCCCATCAAAAAGCGGGCAACGGATATGAACAGACACTTCTCAAAAGAAGACATGTATGTGGCCAGCGAACATAAGAAAAAAAGCTCAACATCGCTGATCATCAGAGAAATGCAAATCAAAACCACAATAAAATACCATCTCATGCCAGTCAGAATGGTGATTATTCAAAAGTCAGGAAACAATAGATGCTGGCAAGGCTGTGGAGAAATAGGAACGTTTTGATAATCTCAATAGATACAGAAAAGACCTTTGATAAAATTCAACATCCCTTCATTTTAAAAACTGTTAATAAGCTAAGTATTGATGGAACATATCTCAAAATAATAAGAGCTATTTGTGACAAACCCACAGCCAATATCATATTGAATGGGCAAAAGCTGGAAGCATTCCCTTTGAAAACTGATAGAAGACAAGGATACCCTCTCTCACCACTCCTATTCAACATAGTATTGGAAGTTCTGGCCAGCGCAATCAGGTAAGAGAAAGAAAGGGTACTCACATAGAAAGAGAGGAAGTCAAATTGTCTCTGTTTGCAGATGACATGATTTTATATTTTATATTTAGAACACCCCAAAACTTTTCGAACTGATAAGCAACTTCAGCAAAGTCTGAGGATACAAAATCAATGCGCAAAAATCACAAGCATTTCTACACACCAACAATAGACAAGCAGAGAGCCAAATCATGAATGAACTCCCATTCACAATTTCTACAAAGAGAATAAAATACCTAGGAATACAGCTAACAAGGGATGTGAAGAACCTCTTCAAGGAAAACTACAAACCACTGCTCAAGGAAATAAGAGAGGACACAAACAAATGGAAAAACATTCCATCCTCATGGACAGGAAGAATCAGTATCATGAAATGGTCATACTGCCGAAAGTAATTTATAGATTCAATGCTAACCCATCAAACTACCGTTGACATTCTTCACAGAATTAGAAAAAACTATCTGAAATTTCATATGGAATCAAAGAAGACCCCAAATCTCACAAGATCTGATGGTTTTATAAAGGGCAGTTCCTGTGCACACACTCTCTTTGTAAGACGTAACTTTGCTCCTCATTTACCTTACGCCATGATTGTGAGGCCTTCCCAGCCAGGTGGAACTGTGAGTCTATTAAACCTCTTTCCTTTATAAATTACCCAGTCTCAGGTATGTCTTTATTAGCAGTGCGAGAACAGTCTAATACAGAGAGTAACCCCTTAAATGAAGTAGTCTTTTCAGACTCTACATTTCTTCCTATGATTTGCCATTTAATTTCCTTTTTTATATCCAAGAAAGCAGCATTGCAATTTCTTAGTCTTAAATCTCATGACAACTAACATTGATGAGCTGGTGTCTTAGGAAGCATTGCCAGGTATCCTTGGAAGACCATGTTCCTTTTTTTCCCTCCTTAGAAATTAACTATCTAATTCAAAGGATTTCTTAACCTGGACAAATATGTTCTTGAACAGGTTTGTCCATACCGAACTGATCAGCATATTTGCCGGAAGATGAAATATGCAACAAGCACTAATTGCCTTGTTGTAGCATGTTAAAAAGCCAGTTAGGAATTCAGCAATTCATGGCCTATAAAAATCTGTAGTTGCTTTTTCAAATTTAAGAGCTGTGACCTGTGTATAGATGCCATAACAGTGTCTTAAAGTGACAACAAGAAGTTTAATCAACTGGGTTGTGTATGGGGACAACTTGGGCTCTACGTAGGTATTTGAGGTAATTGGAAAGACAGGAATAATGACAAACTTATGCACGAGCAATCTAGTACCTGACTCATGTCAGACAGTATCAGCATGAGTTGTGGATGGTTTATGCTTCTTCCCCAGGATAATAAAAAAACAGCAAGAGGTAATGAAAAGTTTACCGTGGTTTTCATGCCAAATAAAATGAATTATTGTCATTTTTACCATTCTGGAATTGCTTAGATACAATGAATTGAATTCGAAATGAAAACATAAACCAAAATATATAACCTGCAGATATGCTTTAATGTTTCTTTGTAATGCAATAGAGCTGTTTTTTAAAAGAAAATCAGAGTAGCATGACCAAAAGAGGCAGCAGACATTATAACCATTTGACATTTTCTTGGAGGTATTTCTTATATGAGTAGTGTGAAAAGGAATGTCATTGAGCCAGGTATGTTTACAAAGCACAGAAAGTCTTTGTGCAAATTGTTTGATGTACTGTGTGGTAGTATTACAGCCACGTACCAGTGATGTATTCTAAAATGCTTGGCATTTCCATGTAGTGGCCTGAATATGGGAATACAGGGGATATTCATTTGTTTGCTTTGGTTTTTATTTTTGCAGGCTCAAATTCATTAGATAAGAAAACTAACTCAAATTTTCCCATTTATGTGTACTATAAACACATATATTTATACTACTGAAGCCTAGGGATAACCCAGAGAGCTTAATAAATGATCTTCATAAAGATGTTATAGATTCTTGCTTGGTGACTATAGTTTGTTCTTTCAAATGGTCCCAGTTACCCTGAGTTTCAGGTGGGGGGTGGTGAGGATGTGTGAAGTTCCACTAAATTTGATGCATTTTCATTTTAAGGAAAGGACAGTGTATACAGTCTGCCACAGAGGGTAAACCTTTAAAAGAATCTTTGGCTCTTTTCCTGAACATAATTAAATTTCCATTATTTTTTTCTTTGCCAGAAGTTTAATGATTTATATTTAATAATCAAGCTGTAATTTATTCTCCACATTTGCTCCCACTTGATGAACGAAGCAAAATCTAATGTAACAAATACTTTCTGACTAAATTTTTCCTCCTCTTCTCTAACTTTTCTTTTAGGACTCAGCCCAAAACCATGTTTGCCCAAGTTGAATCTGATGATGAGGAAGCGAAGAATGAGCCAGAATGGAAAAAACGTAAAATTTGAAGAATCTCATTTGAGAGCTGTTTGCATGACTGGGAGGGATATGGGACAGGTTTGGAGTTTGTTTTGTTTTTTATGCTCATGAAATTAAAAATTCATTTTTATGAACAGGTTTTGTCCTTTGCATTATTGAACCAGTCAAAAGTTTGGTAACTAGGCTTCACTAAAATTGTGCTTAAATTTTCTTACCTACAACTATTAAACTGTATTTTAAATAAACAAGAAACAGATTCTTAGCCTATTACCAAGTACTTTAGGTATTTGGAAACTTTATTCAACAGTTATTGGTCTGGTACAGATTCTCATAAATCTGTACCAGACCAATAACTGTTGAATAAAGTTTCAACAATTATGTACATTGAGATATGCTTCTTTCTTTAGCAGTTCTAGGAACATAATATAGAAATAGAGATCAAAAAGTTTAATGTTTCTGTGTAATTTCACAACAGTTGTTTACATGACTGTAAATAGGCTGAGTTCAAACCAAATGCATTGCCATACTAGGAAAAAACATGTATCTCATTATCCTTCAACAGCAGAATATAGTGGTTAGGAGTTAGGAGTGGGCATTGAAGTCAGGCTCATGTGGATTCAAGTCCTGATTTTGCTCTTTACTTCTATGAGAGTTATTTAACTTTTCTTTTCTTGCCTCAGATGATGAAATAGTGCCTATTTTGCAGATTTGCCAGAAGCACTAAATGGGACATACCTCATAGAGCATTTAGTACAGTACCTGCTACACAGGTGAATGCACACCAAATATTTGCTGTTTTTAAATAGAGCTAATAATATTTTCTTTGCTTGCTTTTTTTTATTAGTATTAAATTAGAAAGGTACAGAGATGCTTTGTAAATGTAAATACTATATAAATAGAAGACATTAAAAATTCTATTGTGCTTTTGTGTCTAAAAAACTAAAACAAAAGTTGGCAATTTGTCCAAAATAATAATGAGTCAATAGAATAAAATTATGTGCATTGGTTTCACACAGACATGGGTAGATTTTGCATGTTAAATAGTCCTCTCTAGATAGGTGTTTTAGGACTTGCCTTCTGCCCTTCTGCTCTCATTTGTTCTAGTGAATTCAATTGTTTTAAAAATGCATGATGATCCCAAAAGTATATCAGAAAACTCTTGGTTTTCCAGGCTTTACGTGCCTACTCCTGCTTCCCAAAAAATATTGTTTAAAAACCACTGGCACTCACATAGCTCCCTTGTCTCTGCAGATTCTGAGGTGGCAGTGGGCGTTCTTTTATAGATAAATCCCTAAAAACTTCATTCTCATACACTTTTTCAGTCTTTTCTTCCTCCCCCATCCTCATCTTATTCTCCTTCTCTTGTGACTCAGCCTATAGGATATAGGTAAAAAGAAAAGAACTAACATTTGCTGAGTGTCTGCCACATAATGCGTACTATCTCAAGCCCTCGACTTGAGCTAGCTGATTTAATCCTGCCCCATGAGTAGATAAAATTGCTAAACCCATTTTCCAGATGAAGCAAAAGAGATTCAGCATGTCAAATAATATGTCTGAGGTCACAGCCAGTGAGGGCTGCATGACAACACCCAAGATCTCTTAAACATCAGTAATTAACAAATGGCCCCAAGTTTTCTATTCCTTTTGAAAAACACTTCATTCAAAATCAATTACAGACCAATATTTTGTTCCAGCTGCTTAGAATTTATAAATTTATTACTTCTTGGATAAAATTTACTGAAAGCATCTCACATTTTCTCACATCTTAATATAAACATTGCACCATATGGAAGTATTCGTCTTGTACAGCCAAAAGTTGCAATGGAGGGTTGGGGGAGGAATAAAAACTTGATCATAGTGGTCTTGCCAGAGTCAGCTATGATGTAAGGGGAGAGAAAGGAAAATTTCGCACGAAGATGATTTTCTCATAGTTACCCACAACACAAGTGGGCCTTTTCATGTCTGAGAGGATCTGTCTCACTCTAGAGAGTTTTATAAAGAGTTATTTTTTTTCTGTGAAAGATTGACAAAATACACATACGGATTTCAATTTCAAATTCAGTAAGGGCGGAGCTTAGAACCAGGACTGAAGAAATAGTGAGTGTTCATTTGACCTGTAAACTCCCTTACAGGGAGTAAATAGCTGTTGATGCCCATTCTGGTGACAGGACTTATAGGCTCTTATACTCACCATGTCCCTCAGGCCTCTTAATCTTCCCCCATACAACCTTGTATTTGGTTACTTTCATTTCTAGTTGCTCTAGGAAGGAACTGGCAGTCATCCTAATGACTCCTCCCTCACCCCAACTCCCACCCATTTAATTCTTTGCCAATTTCTTTCCATGCTGTCTTCCGAATCTCTCACATTTGCCCTTTCTCTCTTTCCCTACCACCCCTCTAGAATTTAGACCCTCTTTTAGCCTTCGCCAGCACCACTCAGGAGCCTCCCACCCAACTGATATTCCTGTGTTTCATTAGGTCTTCATCTAACCCATCTTTCATTCTGTCATCAGAGTTGGCCTTCTAAAATCAAAATCTGTCATTTCATTATTTTGCCTAGAGCCTTCCAGAGGCTCTATGTCAGTAGTTCTCATTCATTTATGTGGCAATTGAGGACATCCTCTTCTGTGCTCCAACTCCTGCTGATCTGGCACATGCTTCTGAGGCCCAGCCATGCTGAACCCAGGAGCTACCATGTTCTTTGGCACCTGAATGGCTTTGCACATGTTGTCCTCTCTTCTATCCTTGTCTGCTTGGTTAGGAATCAATTTCACCTTCCCAAGCAGAAACTCTCAGCTTCCATAGTTGCTTACATATCTCTCCATTATAGCCTCCTTTTATGTTGCATTATAATTGTATACACACCAGTGGCTTGTGGGCCAGTAGTGTGTGCCCATGTGTGCACATGCATGTTTCCTCACTAAGAAGTAGACTGTAGAAACTAAAGAGCATTGGGTTTAGTAAATGTTCAATAACTTTGTTTAATAAATTAGAGAAGCCATGTTCTATTCACATTTGTATTCCTAGACGGTAGCCCCAAGAAAGGGTTTAAAAAGAGGCTTATTCGGCCGGGCGTGGTTTCTCATGCCTGTAATCCCAGCACTTTGGGAGGCTGCGGTGGGTGGATCACAAGGTCAAGAGATCAAGACCATCCTGGCCAACATGGTGAAACCCTGTCTCTACTAAAAAATACAAAAATTAGCTGGGTCGGTGGTGGCACATGCCTGTAGTCCCAGCTATTTGGGAAGCTGAGGCAGGAGAATCGCTTGAACCTGAGAGGTGAAGGTTGCAGTGAGCTGGGATCATGCCACTGCACTCTAGCCTGGCAACAGAGTGAGACTCCATCAAAAAAAAAAAAAAAAAAAAAGGATTATTCAACTTTGGCAGAGGGAAGGAATGAAACATGCAAGGATGAAGAAGGGATGGGAAAAGAATGAGGTGTGAGAAGTGTTTCTGCCTCGCAGATGGAAAGGAGGATCCTTAGTACTGAAGGTTGGTCTGCATCCAGGCTGCTTTACCTCTTCTCTGTGGGGCTTTATTCACAGCTAGCTGTGATGGCTCCAGGAGGAAGCAGGATTATCTGTGCTATTCCCGGCAGGGCACAGCAAGTTCTAAGCCACCATGACATCCTTAGGTACTCGCCGCCTGTCCCATTAGACTTGATACTGGGAAAGTCATGGGAGCCCGAGTTACCAAAGATCTGAGAGATCTCTAGCATGGGGATTCTTAACCTAGGCAGGGTGTCTGTGAACTTCCTCGAATTTTATGCAGCATAATTTGCTTATACTCATGTACATTTTTCTGTGGAGAGAATCCTTAAATGGAACTGAATTTGGGAATATTTGGCATAGCTAGTAGTTCTTTCATCTCCCAGGATAACTGTCTAAAATTGGGCCAATCATACTTGAAAGCCAGGACATAACTCTCACGCATTCACACACACAGTACCAAATAAAACCAACTAAACTAAAACCTTTTATACACTGTCCTCCATTTAATCTTAGGCAATCAGTCATATTGCTTTGTATCCAGACTTTAGTATTTATTCTTTGAAAGATTATGGCTCTCTGTCCCATTAGAAAAATAAGAGGTCAGCTTCACAGCCACATGAAGGCTGAAAAAAAAAAAAGAAAACCTCGAAAACAATGCTAATATTTTGATGAATTACCTTCTAATTTTTTCTTTTATATACAGCTTTCACATTTATTTTCTCTTATTATAATATATTTATGAACAATGTGATATATATTTTACTTATAAAATAAGCATGTAAAATTTCCATATTATTACAAACCTCATACACAATTTTAGAAGCTGCATAGTAGTTCATTATATAGGTATATATTCAAAACTTAACCATTATCCTATTACTGGAAATACAGATTATTTTCAAATTTGCTGCTTTGATAAGGAATGCTGCTTTGTGTAATTTCTTTATGTTGAATTCTTTTCTTAGAATTGGTAACCCAAAATGGAATTACAGGGGGGTCAATAAGTATGACTCTCACTTGTTGGATAGGGCCATTGTAATCCTGGTTATCAGTGGATGCCCAATTGGAGAGGACAAAGATGATTCTGGGTAACAGTTCTAGTATACTGGGTTGAATAGTGTTCCCTTAAAATTCATGTTCACTGTTAAAAGAGGAAGTTTAGTTAAATTAAAAGAGCTTAATTGAGCAAAGAATGATTCATGAATTGTGCAGCCTCCCAAGCCAGAGCAGGCTTAGCCAGTGCAGCCATGTGGTAGAAGATTTATAGACAGGAAAAGGAAAGTGATGCACAGAAAATGGAAATGAGGGACAGAAACAGCCAGATTGGTTATAGCTTGGCATTTGCCCTATTTGAACACAATTTGAACAGTTGTACATCTTTGGCTAAAACCTGGTGATTGGTACAAAGAGTAGGCTATAGTCTATACAACTTTATATAAGTTATAGTTCACGATGTACAGAGAAATCATTAGGCTGGACTTGAAATATGTAAGGAAGCAGCTTTAGGCTAAACTGGATTTAACTATTCCCTTCTTTTGGTAACCCTCTCAATTTTGAGACATTGACCAAAACTTTAGTCATTGATGTCCCTATCGCCATTGTAAATGTACCTATTTGGTCTTGAAACCCACTGGGAAATAGCAGA